TGCGCGCGTAGGCACCGCCAGTGCGCCCAGCCGCGGCTCGAGGGCCAGGAGTTCTGCATTAAGCATATCCTGGAGGACAGGAGCGCCCCTTTCAAGCAGTGCAGCTACGTGTCGACCAAGAACGGGAAGCGGTGCCCAAATGCTGCGCCCAAGCCAGAGAAGAAGGACCTCCCAGCCGCGGCTCGAGGGCCAGGAGTTCTGCATTAAGCATATCCTGGAGGACAGGAGCGCCCCTTTCAAGCAGTGCAGCTACGTGTCGACCAAGAACGGGAAGCGGTGCCCAAATGCTGCGCCCAAGCCAGAGAAGAAGGACGGGTCAGTACCTCCCATTCCCAATCCTTTGGCCTGCGTGGAGTTAAAACAGGGAGAAGACAGTGCCGGGGCGTGGAGGTGCAGATCCTTTTCCTTATTCTGCTGTTGCACCAGGGTTACCCTCAGACAAGGGGTTTTCTATTTTTAAAGCGTTGTTAATCCAGCCGAAAGCCTCCATGTGGAGTCTTTCTGACACGGCGGGACTGTCAGGCCGCTGCCCTCTGTCATCGGGAGGTGGCTGCGCCGCCTCGGGAGCACCCGGTGGACTCGGGGTGCCTCTGCCCACACTTAGGGTTACCCTCGACACAGACACTCTGCTCACGTTTTATTTGGAGCTCTTGACCTGGTTGCGCTTGTTGTTCCTTTGACGCGTGCAAAATGTTCCAGCTGTTATGGATGGAAGGGCCTAGAATAATTATTGACACCGATGAACGCATCAGCAGGGCACAGCTACACTTATTGGCACATTGGCCTTTATTTCCCTGCCAGAGGTCACCCAGGTTTGAACACTGATAGCCCTGATTCTGCCCATGGTGCCTCTGCAATAAAAAGGATGAATCTAATGGGGGGCCAACGTGCTCTGCCCAAAAACCGAAATTCCGGCAGAAATTCCGGAGGCAGCCGGGTTTCCTGCCACAGCTTGAAGTGGAAAGCCGTTTTCTCCCCCCGCTGCTGTGTGTGGGGCTCCCGCTCAGTGCCAGAGGTGACGTTTCACGGTGACATGTGCCCTGCGAGCCACTTGGGGCTCCCTGGGCTTCCTGCAGGACACCAGCAGCCGGCGGCAGAGATGGGCTTTGCTGGTGGAGGGAGCTGGGCAGCAAGGTTGGCCTCCCAAATGGCAGGGAGCGCTTCTCGCTGTGTCACTTGTCCGCTTTGGTGACCTCCTGAGCACGGGGAGTCCTGACGTGCCTGTGGTTTCTTTGCCCAGCGTGTCGTTCTGCGCGGAACATGCCCGTCGGAACGCGCTGGCTCTCCAGGCTCAGATGAAAAAGTCCAACCCTGGACCTGCCAGTGAGACGCTGCTCTGCCAGCTCAGCTCTTACGCCAAAACCGAGCTGGGCTCCCAGCCTGCAGAGAGCAGCCGCAGCGAAGCCAGTCGAATCCTAGGTGAGAGTTTAATGGGAAAACCGGTGAGGGAAAACCAGGAATTCTCTTTGTTTTGTTTTGTTTTTGTTTGGTTGGAAATGCCAAGAATATCACTTACTAAATTCTGTGGCAAACCAAGTAATACTGGGATCTGTGGTAGACAGATAATGTCCCACATCGCGGTGTGTTTTGCCTACCAGCAGCTGTAGATAGTGACATTGTAGATGTCACTGCAGGAGGCAACTTTGTGGGTTCTTTCCCCTTGCCAGGTAGAAATGTCTGGGCACTTCCCTTAGTCTCCCTCTGTGCCTGTCAAATGCTGCTCGTAGAGGATTCCGTTCCGTGCAGCTGCAGGGTCCCCTGGGGAACTGGTTCATGGTTCCCAAGTTGACAGAAGTGCTGCTGCAGCGGAGCCGTGTAATTTGGCTGCACTTAATTAATTGGTGGGTGTCCTTTTGTCCCATCCTGCTCGCGCACGTTGCGCTGGGAGAAGCCTCGCTGGGAGCAGAGGCAGCCGGTGCATCCCCGAGCTCCCTGTGTGCAGGAGCGAGCGCTGGGAAGCGGGACGGGATCCCGTCCCTCCCGGATCCTTGTCTTTCCAGACGAGGACAGCTGGAGCGATGGCGAGCAGGACCCTATCACTGTGGAGCAGACGTGGCGAGGGGACCCGGACAGCGAGGCTGACAGCATCGATAGCGACCAGGAGGATCCCTTGAAGTAAGTTGGGTGCTGGCAGCTCCCAGCTGCTAACAGCGTCCTGCAGAACGCCCTGAATTGGGGGCGATACCAGCGGGGACGGTGGCTTTGTAAAGAGAGGATGTTATTAACTATGTTGCCGTTAGACTTGGTGTCTCTGAGAGTTGTTAGGCACTAATATTGCCAAGTCTTGTATGTGGTGACTCCTGTGTGCAATATTTACTGTTGATTCTCTTTCCGTGCTGAGCAGCCCATCTAGGCAGGTATTTAACAGCAGTCTGTGGGTGGGCTCTTAGTTTAAAAAAATAAATCACTATTTCTGCTCCTTATCCATGATCTGTCTAACCCTGCTCAGTCAGTGTTTCAGGTAATGCCCATGTTAGTCAGTAAGAACAGCCCCGAAGGGATCTTTCCCAAATTTACCCTGTTTTCTGTGGTGTTTTTCAGGCACGCTGGGGTATACACAGCCGAGGAGGTGGCTTTAATCATGCGAGAGAAGCTGATCCGCCTGCAGTCCCTGTACATCGACCAGTTCAAGCGACTCCAGCACCTTCTGAAGGAGAAGAAACGTCGCTACCTGCACAGCCGCAAGGGAGAGCACGAAGCCATAGGCAAGTACGGGGACAGGTGGGCACCGCTTCGTATCCCTCTGGCCATGGGCACGGTGCTTCTCTAAAACACACCAGAACAGAACAGAAAAGCATTAAAAATGCCTTTTGTTCCTTTTTTTAGAAGCACATTTAATTGCAGTGCTAACTTTGTAAGAGTGAGAATTACTGTAGGATTGAAAGTGAGACGGGGAAGGTATTTTTGTGGCTGGCCTCGTGCCTGGAGATTGGAGTCGTTTGGGTTAGGAAGGTTGCCGGATTTCTTTGCTCTTCAAAGTTAGCAGCATTGTCAGGAAATGAGGCTACAAAGTTAATTCTGAGACAAAAGTTCTTTTTTTGTATGGGATTTCCTGTTTTTGGTTTTATAAACAACAAAAAATTATTCTTCTGTAAGGTCTCGTCTGTGTGAGCACAGGTTTGTTTCTGTAGTTGGACTAGTTTTGCTGCAGTGATTTTCCTCCTCAGCACAGATGCAGTTTTCTCCTGCAGAAGCACTTGGGCTTTAGCTGGATTTCTTCCTGCACAGAACACGCTCTTTGAGGCAGGAATTTGTAGTTGAGCAGATGAAAAACAGCGTTGAATAATTGGCTGAGAGCGTGGCAGTGCGAAGAATGCCTCAGTAATAGCTCGTCCTGGAAAAGGGCATTGTGCAGTTCAGTCTCAAGTAAAAATAACTGCAGGTTTTATACATAATAATTTTGTAGAACTTGTTTTTGCAAACCAGTAATAGAGAAACAGAAGCTGAGTGTTGCCCTGTAATTACAGCTAGGAATGCTTACGGGAAACTGCCAGAATCTGCACACGAGTAAGCTGAAATTTGACAATTTTTGCATTCTGCCTGCACAAATCACAGTATACTTTGACGGGTCAAAGTATTTTAAAAGCCCTCGTTTAAAAATACTGTCAGCCCGAGTATTCCTCATCTGCACAGAGCAGTTGGGAAAAGTCTCTGGCTGGAGGCTGCTTTGTCACGCTCTTACGCAACGGAGGAGCTTCCTGCTTGCGTGCGCGGAGCTCGCTGCTGGCTCACGAGGTGCCCTGACATCTGTGTCGTCAGGCAGCAGCTGGAGCTCTCGATAGCTGGTTTTGGCTCTTGGTACCCCAAAAAAATAAAATCTGCATCATTTTCTTTAAAAAGCGCTGTTGAAACGGGGGGTGTTGGCTTAACGCTGCTGGAGGAAGGTGGGGGGGTGTGTTTCCTCCTCCCCCCTCGCTCCCCCGCAGGCAGCAGCCTCCTGACGGGCCCGGAGGGGCTCATGGCCAAGGAGCGGGAGAACCTGAAGCGCCTCAAGTGCCTGCGGCGCTACCGGCAGCGCTTCGGCGTGGAGGCCCTGCTGCACCGGCAGCTGCGCGAGCCCTGGCCCTGATCCCCTGGGATTTTGGCCCCCATGGATTGCTCCAGGGTTGCTCGATTGCCCGTTGCCGTCCTCAAAGCTGAGCCCGAGTCATGTGGGTGCAGCGGTTTCTTTATCACCGTTTTTAAAGTTAAAGCATTCCCTTAACCAGCTCCTTTAAGTCAGGAGATAAATGTGGGAAGAGCCATTCTTCAAGGCAACCCTCTGAGGTGATAACGCTCTTTGTATTGTAATTGAGGCTCCTCTTGGTATCTCAGTCTGCCTGAATGGAAAGGCCTTAACGAGGCTACAGAAGGGGAACCCGGGGTTTAATCCCCTCGTGCAGCAGAGGGGGGTTTTCCTGGAAAAGCGCCGTGTTTTCCCTGAGCAGCTCTGAGCTCCTTCCCCGTGTTTGCAGGCACACACCACCCGCTCCAGCCAGAGGTGCTTGGCCTTTGTGGATGATGTCCGATGCTCCAACCCGTCCCTCCCGATGACCAGGCACTGCCTGACCCGTATCCTTCCCGTTGCTCTCGGGCTGCTCCGGGATCTGTTGTCCCTTTGCAACACACCTGACCCTCCTCTTGGTTTTGGCCCTGAATCAAGGCCATCGGTTTGCTGTAGCCGCTGGTTTCAAGCAGGAGCCCAGAGGAACGTGTTCCTGTGGGATGTTGGCCAGTCCGGAGCGTCAGGAGGGAATGGCCCAACTCACTGGAAGCAACAGAACCTCGTCAAGCCTGAGGGGTTTGCAAACAAGTTTCCGGCTGTTTTAAAGGAGGATGGAAGAAAATTTGGT